CCCCCCCCCCCGCCGCGCCGCGCGTAGCTCTAAACCACAGAAGGGTGCTGCAGCTAGAAGGGTCCCGAATTGGAGCCGGAAAAAGAGGGAACCGAGTTAGCGGTCTGAAGGTCGTTCAAGTGGCAAGACTGACGTTGTGTAAGACTGTTGTTGTGTAAGACTGACGTTGTGGATGTAGCTAGAGGCAAACTGAGTATCGGAACTGAGTATCGGAACTGAGTGTCGGAACTGAGTGTCGGAAATGAGTATCGGAAATGAGTATCGGAAACGAGTACACAAAATTGACTTGGACGGAGACTAAATGTGGCTTACAATCTGTGCAGCATGTGCAGAAAGTTATACAGGGGGCATTAGCATGGAGTTGATAGAAGAGTGGTTTGAGCCACGGCCTTGTTAGGGGTGACTTTTTATTGAAAATGTCGTCGGTTATGTCCGGGCCTGGTCCTGGTCCTGGTCGTTGCTCATCTTCGTCTTCTGCGTCTGGTTATGTGGCGTTGGAGGGTCAGCAGGATGATGGGCCTATTATAGATCGTTACGGATTCGAGTGGGATGACGAAGATTTCTTCAAGAAGAAAGGGGAGACTGGTGTGGAGCCCCCGTCAGGCAGAGAGCGATTAGGTAGAGATAGGCTCGGGTTGACGTCAGGACAAAATGTGGCAGGACAAAATGTGTCGCGGCGTGGCAGTGCTGATGGACGAGGGAGTATGGTGCAGGGCCCGGAGGCGCAGACGGGCACAGTGTTTCAACCGCCGTGGCAGTTGAGTGAGCGGTTGGAACGATTTTTCGTAATGGAAGTTGCTTGGGGAGCACGTCAGGCGGTTGAAGTGAGTGTTGGTGACATCCTTAAGAAGGTACGGAGTCACAAGTGGCATGTGCAACGAGGGTTTGCTGGTGGTCGGTCGCGTGTGCCAGAGATTACATATCGTGACCTGACTCAATTATTTAGCGAATCAGCCTTGGTCCCGGCCTTTGAAATCCGACAGAACTGTATCGTTATGTGTCTCCCGCCGCTTACCTGTATCGTTCTTCATGACCGTGTTATTCTACACGTAAACAAGTTCATGGACCCTGACACACTTCTGCTCAAACTCGAACACCTTACCGCAGCCTATAGCAAACGCGCCGATGATATTCGACAATACTTTCTACGCGAGCATAAACACCGACGTTCGCGATTGACTGCTCCCCATCCTTCCGCACACGTGTTTGCACACCATCGTTCTATGTTACTCTCCGGCAGCTGTACCGGAGAGGGCTTAACTGGACCTCAACCTACAGTCGGAGCACCAATAGTTGGAGCCGTGAGTCTCGATGGCATGGTCCCGACCCTCGGCAGCAGTCATCGACTCGGCAGCTTTCAGAACTTCCCGAGCTACAACTTAGGTGGTACTGGCAACTTAGGTGGTACTGGCAACTTAGGTGGTACTGGCAACTTAGGTGGTACTGGCAACTTAGGTGGTACTGGCAACCAAGGTGGTGGCCATCATGTTGGTAATTTGGCGGTGGGTAACTTGCAGTCTGTGTCGTCGTTTGCACAGATGTCATCTCAGCAGCTGGCTTCCTGGCAGGGCATTCCAAAGTACGTCTTGTTCCCGTTGGAGTTTGCATTGCTCGAGGTTCTGATATCGTACGCGTTTGCGGAGTTTAGTAAGAGCGTAAATTCTAGGTATGCGGAGATATCTGCGTTGGTGGATAAGTACTACGTAAAATCGTATGACCGGAAACTGATTGACCAGCTAACCCGGGCTAAGGGGTCATTAAGCCACATTAGTGAGAATGTCCAGGGGTTGAAAACTGCGTTCAATACACTTTTGAACACACCCGAGGACCTGGCCATGATGGAGCTGACCAAGCTATTCTACCTGCCCCAGTTATACTACCGGCCTCAGCGTCGTAATTGCCAGTCCTGTGGCTATGACGATTATGACGACTACGCTTGCAGGGAAAGTGGCATGGCGTGCGACCTCGGCTGTGGTGGCCAAGGTAACTGTGGTGGCCAAGGTAACTGTGGTGGCCAAAGTAACTGTGGTGGCCAAGGTGGCTGCTCCCAAGGCGGTTGTTCATACCAGATGGAAGACGCAATCAATCCGAACCTGGAGATCCTGATGGAATTCTTTACTCAGGAAATCGGTCAAATTGCGAAAAAGGTGAAAAAGATGAACAGCATCATTGTCGACGCCGAAAAGCACATCACCTTCACCATGGGGTTCCGACGGAACGAACTCCACAAGTGGGACATTGGGTGCAATGTAGCCACCGTTTCCCTTGGTATCGGCAGCGTCGTATCCGGTCTACTGGGAATGAACGTTCCCAACCACCAAGAAGAAAACCAAATTGCGTTCGCAGGCTATGTGATCTCCGTTGGACTCACAGCTCTCTGTGGATTTGCACTCGCTTTTTGGGTCGCTTTCAAAACCACCAACTGACTACCGCACTCAACTATTTTTATCGTAAAAGGGCTTTGTAAAAACAGACGGGGGAGTATCGTAAAAACAGACGGGGGAGTGTCGGCGGGGTACTTTTTTGTGGCATCTCCATGAGCAGGGTCTCAGTCAGATGCCTTCATACCCCCCGGCGTGTTCTGGAACATGGCGAGGTGAGGCAAGCTAACCGGTTTTCCAGAGGACAAATATTTTGGGACATTTTATGTTGTTCAGACTCTCGCCGCAAGTAGCTTTGTATGTTCAAGATGAAAAGAACTACTACATTCTAACGACTGTACCAGATTCCTATGCCCACTTCGGAGAGTCAAGCTCCTACAATGATTGGCAACCACCGAAACCCAATCAATTAAAACCCAGAGTTCAACAGTAAACCAAAATCTGCCCATATTTCTTTCTTATCGCTCACGACACAAACGCTGGCTCATATATCGATTCTAAATATAGGCAGGACCCATCCTCCTTATGTATTTACGAAGGCTATGGAAGACTTAGACTTTTCAAATGTGAAAGAGATAATCAAGAAATCCCCGAGTAAGAACTCCGGCTCAGATCACTGTCATTTGCTGCTTCTGTAGGTTTTTAAGACACACCACGTTGCTGGGGAACGGAGAGACGTATGTTAATGGATTTCAACTAATAGAGGCAGCTGAGTTTCTTAATGCTATTGTCTTTTGTATTTGTGTGCCGGACAAAAACCTTTGGATCAAGAACGGTAAAAAAGTGTGTGCACACACTATGATCGCTTTTCCATCGTAGGTAATACCAACTTCATAATGGATGTTAAGTCCATTCGCGACGCTATGCGGGCCCCGCCGACCGTATTATCAGATGAGCTCCTTTGGATTGAGGCGAGCGGGAAAGTTAAGGTGGGAATTGAGAGTAAAGTTTCTCAGAACAATTCGACGGTTACTGTTTATGTTGCAAATGCGGAGGAAAAGGCTGTGCTTCATTGGGGCGAATTTTCTGACGGCCAGTGGAAAGCGATATCTCCGAAGCGTCTGTCTCCCGATTACGAGGGCAAACAAGTTAGTGACAAAGGCGCTGAGATTGAGTTGAAAAAAATTGATAATTCAATATCATGGGCGTCACTAAAATTCTTGCCGGGTGAGCAGCCTGATGTGGTTGCATTCGTAATAAGAATAGGTCCGAACAATTGGATTTCCGCGAAATACGGGGGAGATTTCCTGGTTCCGATGCCTGTGTTACCAGAGTGGATTGAAATGAAGGAAAAAGCGGAGCAAGAGCGCGAAGCGCAGAAGAGAGAGCGCGAAGCGGCTTGGGATGGCATTGTGAAGCGTTTCAATGAAGCCAGTATAATCGACCTACCGGAAACGAGTGCGAAAGAATTTATTGTTTCTGAGATGTGCGAGGAACTGAGTCATAATGCGGGCTGGTACAAAGTGTGGATCAGCAGTTCCGTGAATCTGGAATACGACGAGGACGCAGTGAGTGATGACGATGGTTCTGACGACACTGCGGACATGACGAATGTCCAGCCGGGGTCCCCCTCGGACGAAGTTCTGCTTTGTGTCAGTGTGCTCTTTTGTTTGCGGGAGCCGAACCAGATGAAGATACACTGGGGTGTGATGCGTAAAGGAGATAGCAATTGGGTGTCGCCGATGAGCTTGTCCGATTTCAAGTACAAGGGCCTCCGAGATACGGTGGAGGTTAACTCGCAGGCATGCGACAGCTACATAGATATGGAAGCCATGCGTGACTTGGACGGTCTTTGTTTGGTTGAGTTCACTCTCTCGGGTTCCCTGGAGAGCTCGGAGATGGGCAAGGTGGTTCGCCCGGTTGCCGAGAGCATAAACTTCGTCTTGAACCATAACGAAGACTGGATCAAGAACGTAGGCGGCAGCGACATTAAGCTCCGGCTGAAGCAGTCTCAGGAAAGCGGAGGTTCGGACTTGGCTAGACAGATAATTGAGTGTGAGTGCGAGTGGGGCTCTATGACCCTGATGCACCGTTACGGGTTGGTACTCGACAGGATCAATCAAGACGCACCAAAGTACGACCAGTCAAAGAAAATGCCGTCGGCAGAACTCGAACCCACGACCTCAGCCGGCCACGAGTTTTGGAGTTGGTTGACAACTTGGTTGCGGTTTTCGCACTTGGCTTGGGTCGACTGGCAACGGAGATATAACACCCGGCCAGCGCAGCTGGCTCACGTCACGCAGGAACTATCCTACGCTTTGGCTGGTTGCTGGAGGCGATACCCGGACTACCGGTCTTGGATCAAGATCTGCGTGGCCTGTGTGGGTCGCGGCGGGAACCAAGGGCAGCGTATCCGCGACCAAATTTTGGAGATCATGCACAGACATAAAATCCCCGAGACTGCGGGCCACTTTTACGAGCAGTGGCACCAGAAGTTGCACAACAACACGACGCCCGACGACATCGGGATTTGCAAGGCCATCATCCGCTATTACGAAACCGGCGGCGACTTGGGAGCGTACTGGCACGTGTTGGCCGAGAACAACATCGACAAGGCGAAGCTTGCCTCCTACGAACGACCAATCACATGCGAGCCGTTCATGCACAACTGCGATCGGGGCGCTTTGCTAAACGACTGGCGCAGCTACCTGGATGTTTTGATGGACATCCACGACTGCCGCGACTTGTCTCGCTCCGTTAACCGTGTCCGTGGCTTGTTACAGGGTACCGCAGGCAGCGACCTGGACAGTCTGATGCATGACTTACACCACAACTCCAATGGCCAGCTTTCACCGGAACACGCGGTGGGCCGAATCTGGAAGATAGCCCACATCCGGAACCAACTGTACGAGACGGCCAAGAATAACGACAACAACGCGGAAGTGCGCGACCTGTTGCTGCTCGACTTCTCCCTGGAGTCGATTCAGTCGACGTCGCTCCAAAACACAAACAAACAGGCCTTCAGCCTGACCGACTGCGTGTCCTTGGTGACCAGCTTCATCGGTGACTGGAGCAATATTACCAGCTCTCATGCCGAGTGGCGGGCGCTGCTAACGGATTTTAGAGAGCTCGGTATGAAGGCTGCGCAGCAAAAGTTTACACAGGACAAGGTGCTGGACGCGCTGCTGGTCAAGGCGATGATTGATCGCCTGACTCGGGCAGTCGGATCGGACACGGAACACTTCCAACAGATGCTGGGGCCCAAGAGCCAGTTGCTAGGCCGGAATGTGGGCGTGGAGACGGAGAAGTTGAACGTATTTGTGGACGAGATTTTGCGCGGATCCGTTCTCTTTTCAGTCTCTTTGCTCATCAGTGCGGTGGAGCCCCGTGTGCGAAAACTCGCGGAAATGTCACCCTGGCAGATCGTCTCGCCCGTAGACAGCGTCGAGGGCGTCGTCAAGTGCGTCCCCGCCCTGGTCCACCTACAGGAAGAAAAGTTCCTCGAGCCTACCGTCCTGATTTCAGGCCAAGTCAGCGGCGATGAAGACATCCCGGATGGAGTGGTCGGCATCATTGTTCGGGATGCGGCCTCTGCCCCAGATGTGCTGTCTCACGTGGCTGTGAGGGCGCGCAACTCCAAGACGCTGCTGGCCGTATGCTATGAACCCTCGCTGATTCAAGCAGTGGAGGCCAAGAGAAAAAACACCTTCTGCAAAGTCACCCTTGCCAAACAGGGAACTGAGCTAGAATTCGCTGACTGCCAGCACAAGGAGACCAAAGGAGGTGACGAACGCCGAGATGAGGGCGACGCTGATAAAGAGAACCGAGCAAAATCGCTCAACGACATCAAGACCATGGTGCTGGACGTGACGCCCGAGAATAGTGTGGACCGGTACTGTGTGCCAGAGAAGGAGTACACGCGCACGCTAGTTGGCAGTAAGAGTGCGAACTTGAAGACGCTGAGGGAGACCCTGGCCGGGAAGCTGGGTACGCCTGGTACGGCCGCTAAATCTGGCGTCTACTTTATTCCTCAGTCGTGCGCGTTCGTGTACGGCTCGTTCCTGAAGTGCTTGAATGCTCCGGAGAATGGGCTGGCCAAGAAGCAGATTGAAGCGATTATTGGAAAGTGCAAGAGCACGCAAAACAAGCACGTGCGTAAAGCGTTTGATCGCATTGAACCGGTTATTATGTCCTTAGTCCTCAACGAGGAACTCGTGCGGCAGTTCGAAGAAGTGCTAGAGAGTGCCGGCCTCCTGAAGGTCTACCGGGACAACGGCGCACACGTGTGCGCGGAAGCCCTGAAACGCGTGTGGATGTCGGTCTTCAACATGCGGCCTTGGGTGGCGTTGGGCAAGGCCTGCCGTGCGTGGAGCGAGCTGTCCATGGCGGTTTTGGTTCAGCAAATTGTGGACGCAAGGTACGCTTTCGTGCTCCACTCCAAAAACCCCTACCGGCAACAGAACGCCGACCGGTTCATGTATGGAGAGATTGTCAAGGGCTTGGGTGAAGTCCTTGTCGGTAACCACGCTGGCCGCGCAATGAGCTGGGAATGCGACCGAGACCATAAGGAAAATGTCCTCCTCCTCAGCTGGCCGGCCAAGTCCGTCTATCTGTCCACGGTTGACTCGCTCATCTTCAGAAGTGATAGCAACGGCGAAGATCTCGAAGGGTTCGCTGGCGCCGGCCTATTCGAGTCCATCCCCGCAATCGCCAACCAAGAGAACGTATGCGAGTACGCCACGGACCGCCTGGTCACCAACGCCGCCTTCAGGAAGTCAATCCTCCAACAACTTAGCCAGCTCGCTTGGGACTTACAAGAAGTGTTCGATGGCCACCCAATGGACATCGAAGGCTGCGTCGATGCTCATGATCGTGTTTATGTCGTCCAGTGCAGACCCCAAGTCTAGCCTTTTTTCTATATGAAATTCTCATTGCTAGTAAGGCGCCAATTCCGTGCTTGCACACGCGTGTGCACACGTGTGTGCACGTTTATATGCTTCTATATTTTCGAATTGCCACCCATTTTAGGACGGCAGTGAATTAAAACTAGATGATACCACGATAAGTGAGACTATAGGTGAAATCGGCTATTACCTGGATGAAATCCTGGAGAACGGCGGTAGCCCTAGTGAACTTGAAGTTGAAGGGAGATTGGGTATCATTTCTGAAACCCATTCGGACGATCGGATTAAATTACCGATAGAGACGGAGACTTTGTTACAAGATATTCCATTCGAGTTCGACCATCGGTTCATTGGCTCTGTCTCCGAGCATCAGTTTTATTGCCTCTTGAAAGAACTATGCAAACGATTTGGGATTCCGAAGGTGCCGTTCACAGACCAGCCCATCGAGTATGAACAGAGCACAGCTGACGCGGCTGAGGAGAGTGAGCAGAAAATGGATACGGCTGATGGAGATATTTCGGGAGACATAGGGGCTACATCGAAAACGCCATCGCCGAAAGTGGCCCCTAAATCGCATGCTGTGCAGCAGTTACTGGAGCCAATGTTTATCGAAACAAGTGATGTTTTTGTTCTGAGAAAGGTTGGCAAGGAAGAAACCCGGTGTCGTGTTAGTCGTAATCCGGGAACCGGAGACATTATTGAGGGCATCATTAAGGAGCCGAAGCTCAAACTGAATGTGTATACAGGGCGGGATCCTCATGAGTATGAAGTCGAGGTTTTGTTAAGTGAAGCAGGACAGAGTATCGGAGATAACACGCGGACATCTGCTGATTATCGTATATCTATAAATCGAGAAATTGAAGTTCCTAGAGCAGAGTGTTCTCAATTACTGAGATTCAATAAAGAAAAACTCTTTACAAGAAATAGAAGAAGAGTCACCCTACCGATCTTCGGAGTATATAGACTTGATTGCACCATAGTTAACACGTCTGGAGGTCAAGGCAATAAGCAGTCGTATGAAATGGAATTGGAGATCAACCCGTGGGTCCTGTATTACCACCATATCAAAAAACGACAAGGAGACCCTGATGAGAAATTCACTCTTATTGTTGCCAGTAAGTGAGATTGTTGTTGCCCTCCACCCCCCCCCCCCCCCGCTCCCTCCCCGGGGGTTTCGACATATTCTTCTTCTTAAGATTTTATTGAGATGATGAGGTCATTGGTAGCCTGTTTAACAACCTCGGGAACTCAGGAGCTGATTCGGAGCACCGCCAAGGGCCAGACGACTCAAGTGTTTGAATGTGACTTGCGGGATTGTGCTGTTCCCCCGGAAGTGTTGGACAAGTACCTCAAGCAGTTTAGTCCTGTGGTCCCTTTAATTGGCGATTACTCGTTTCGGCTTGAGACTGGTGTCGTCTTGACAGAGGCGGATGTGGAGGACTCCTGTCGCATGCACTTGAGTCCACAGGAACTGGCCGAGTTGCAAGAGCGGAACCGAGCGCGGCTGCAAAAGGTTAACCAACTTTAATGGGGAGATGGATATGGATCGCTGGGAGAGATGGATGGATCTCCGGGAGAACGGGTTTTTAAAATATGCTTACTTTCCGGCGGACACGGACCCCAATTGGACATCATGGCAGTATAACAAAGTTCATATCCCATATATCAGACAACTCGTTCTTCAGTTCGAGCAAAGGTAAACCTCCCCTGTCCCCCAACAAGTACTGGCATTCTTCATGGACGAAGTTGTCTTCCCGTGGTCGGAGAACGCCACCGTGGCCCCCCTGTGGTCCTGGTACACCACCGTGACCCCCCCCTGATCAGAGTACTGAGGGGAGTCGCACTTGCTGTAATTGATGCGTAGGTTTATGCAGACTGCACAGTGCGGAAATGGAGTTGTGAGGACCTGAGTTTGCTGTACACGTTGACTCCTTGCAACGCGATAGTGAAGGACTTTGTGTTGGATGGTCCGGGTGTGGTGGATAGTGTGTATGTGTTATCAGCGGAGAAGGTGTTTGGTTACCACGTGCATAGCAATCGGCGTTGTCATGAGAGTAATGAATTGCTGGATCGAGTCGATCCGCCGCCTCTGCCGGGGAGTGCGATGCCGGGCCACATATTCACACCGAGTAGTGCAGGCGAGTGTCCGACAGGGAACGTGTTAGTGAACAATAGTGGTCGAGACACGCTGGTGGTGGGTCTAACGCGACCAGCGGTTGCACTCTGGTCCAAGACTGGTAACCGGCGACTGCATAAGTATCAGGTCGAGCAGCCCGTCCTCACCGGCGATGCATGCAACGGGACCTACATCCTGGGCACGGTCCATGGTCGGCTGGTAGGTCTGGATCCGCGCAGCGCGCAGTTGAACAATCACGACCGAAAAGATGCGCTGATCGGTGCCCATTATTTTAAACACCTACGCACACTCTCCGACTACTGTGGCCTCACCAACAGCAGCGATCAGATCCTACGGTTCTGGGATTGGCGCAAGATGGACAAGCCCTGGGCGCACCATTACCATCAACATCAGATCACTTCCGTCGACACCGAATCGCCCGACCTCCTAGTGTTCGGCGACCAAGACGGCAACGTCCTGACGCTCCCGCGTCTCTGGGTCGGTCGCCAGTACCACGCTCTCGCCAAGGACTTGGCGGCCTACGACATCGCTGGCCCTCACGACTACCATAACCGTCTCCGTCGTGAACTTAGTGAACCCGCCCCGCCAGTCACAACCGGCGCCGTCGCCGACTGCTTCCAAGGCGGCGTCCCGCTGTTCCCCGAGTTCTCGCTCTACAGCAACCCGCCGGCCGTCCCTCCGGCGATCATGTCCCAGCGCTCCGTCTCAGTGAGGTCAGACGCGTCGCGCGAGCCGCTGCGGACGCCCAAGTCGTGCGAGTCCTTCTTCGACGACTTCCTCGACGAAGACGCCGCCTGCGAGTCCGTGGCCGGACCAGGCGACGGGTCTCGGGAGGTTGCTGCGGAGACGGCCACGGGCTGGCTGCAGCGCGTGGGCGGAGTGGCCGCACTCGGCGGCGGTCAGGTCGCTGTGGGCAAGGCTAACGGCGACATCGAACTGCTGAGTCTCACTCGTCGCTCGCGCCGTCTCGCCGTCCCTGGGACCTGTCCCGACGCCGAGGCCGTGCTGCTCGAGTCCAAGATCGACGTGCGCTTCTCCGACGGAACCGTCCGCAACCTCTTCACCAACCAACCCCCCCGCGGCGCCGGCTCGCTCCGCATTTCCAAGTACTACGACAAGGTCTCGCTCGAAAAAGGCCAACCCGAAATCCAACTCCCGCTCACACCCAAACCCCTTCTCGACGGAGTCACCCTCGGCTCGCAGTGGTTCGGCAAGAGCAGCGACCAACACAAAGTCGTCAACGTCGGCTTCGCACTTGCCTACTCCTTCTTCGCCAAACTCTCCAAAGACGGACAAGTCGACCCTAAGGCACCTGGCTGGCTCCGCGACTTCGCACACAGCATCGAATGGGACAACCTCTGGATCTCCCTCACCACCCCTTCCGGCGCCTTTATCGCAGGCTACATCGACTCCATCCACCCCAGACTCTCTAAAGAAAAGTTCCTCCGCTACGCCGTTGAAGACAAGTCCCTCGCCAACATGTTCGTCAACGTACCCCCCACCCTCTGTGATGTCAAAACCACCCACGTACCCATCGAGCTCCTCCCTGGCAACAACAAAGCCAAAGACGTCAAACTCGTCGACAACGTCATCAGCATCAGCAGGTTTCAGACCGTTGACGCCGTAAGCCTCCACGACCCCCGCAATTCCCCACCCGGGTCCGGCGACGACCCCCGCCACCATACCAGACTGCTTCTTTTCAGTTGTACAAGTTCCTCTGCAAGCAATTCCGCGCCGGCTCCATCGAGCTGTGCATCCGGCCGCCCTTCGTGCCCGCGCACCAGAAGGTCCCCGTTTCGCAGTACGTGCCGCTGCCCGCCTCCGACATCATGATTGGAGAGCTCTCAGCCCAGCTGGCGGCCAAGGGCAACCTCTCCATCGCCATATACGTCCTGGAGTGACGCTCTTTGAAGGGCTACCTCTCGTAGCCACCGCCTCTAAGAAACACGTCTTAGAGAAGCACGTCTCCAAGCAACACCAAGGAAGCGGCCACGTCCGTGTCAAAGCGGAGTGCCACTAGTCCCCTTTGACGGGCAAGTCTGCGTGTGGTGTGGGTGCCGGCGTGGGTGCTGACTCCGTAGGAAAGTCGCTCTTGACGGGAAGGTCGCCCTTGACGGGTAGGTCGGCCGCAGGTGGTGACGTCTCGGCTTGCGGCCGCGCCTCCTTGGAAGGTCGAGACCGGGGGGCCGGGAAGTGGAAGGAGACCTCCACGGGCATCCTCTTGCCGACGAGCGCAGTGCCCGCAAACTGGCTGGACAAAACGCTCGTCCGGGTCTTCATCTCCTGCTTCCACTCCACCAGCCGGTCCAGCACCTCTTTTTCCGAAGCCGGCTTCAACGGGTAGACCATGTCCAAATACGACATCGGCTGGCGCCAGGACAGCGACCGAGGGATCTTCACCCAGTCGTAGCTCTTCCACGAAGTTTCCGGCACCGAACCAGGCACGTCCAACGCGTCCTTCCCCACAGCGCCCGATGTTACACTCATCCGTGTCTCGCCACTCGCCTTGATCGACGACTCGTGCTGCGACACGCGCTCAATCACCACGTCCAACTCCGCCTGCAACTTCCCGATCCTACAACCACGACATCACGCAGGCACACAGCCCCGACACAACCATGTTCTCACAACTGTGTTCATACAACTATGGCACGTAACCCAGGATACAGTTCAGCTGGTGTTGTGTGCCACTTACTCTTCCCGGATCGCTTCGATGGCCTCCTCGCTGGTGGTTTCATTGAGCTCCTCTTCTTTTCCCCGGATGTTGTACTCTAGCTCGCTTTTCCGGATGTACAGATCTCGGAAGTTGAGCGTGGCCACGTGCGCGAAAGGTCCGTCGGAGTTGAATTTTTTCTTCAGCACGAGGTCCACGTCGTCGTTAGTGAAAGTAAAGGACTGAAGCTTGGCCGCGGTGGCGGGCAAGATGAGTGGCAGCGACTGCAGTTTTTCGTAACCCTGTCTTCCGCTGAACATTTTGAGCAGGTTCTGCCACTTGCGCAGCTCGCTTTCAGTGAACGCGGCTTTCTGCACGAGCGGCAAGTACATCTTGCCCTTGCGAATCTTCAGGGACCCGTCGCTCCGCTGTGTGTACTGGATAATCGAGAAGTCGTAGTGGACGGTGTGCTGCTCATTTTCAATCGTCACCGTCGTAGGTCCTTCTTCTCGCGGAATGAGCTTCGTTATCTGCGCCGGGAGCGGTGGAATGCTGTAATACTGGCTTTCGTCCACGTCTCCATTTTCCATCTCCTCCAAGTCTGGATACCGCACGTAAGCGCCAACCAGATACTCCGAACAACGCGGGTGCTCCAAAATGTGGAGCAGCTGTGAAGGCGACAGCCGCACGGCCTCCAACATCTCCAATGTGATTTCCGCAATCGCACGCTCCAGGCGCCGGTCCACCTCCCGAAACTCCGGCTCGTCGAACAGCATGTGCTGCGGCTGCTCCCACTCATGACTCGTCCTCCGTCGCTTGGACGACCCTGTGCCCCACTCGTCGTCGCGACCCATAGAGATTTTGCTGATAAAAAACTAGGCTACGCAACCTCCGAGTCCGATTGCGTGGTGGTGAGCTTGTGGGGTACCTCCGCATCCACTAACGAATCACTCGCCGTCGACGAACGGTCCGTCATGCACGAATGCCCCACAGTGACCCAGTACTCGCGAGGAACCTCTTTGTACTCCACCGAAGTGTAGTTCAATGGCAAGTAAGGGGGGAAGTCGCCCGGGAACATGTCGTGCTTTCCAATAGCGTAGGTAAAGCAGTTGGGCATGGGCATCCAAAAGGCATGCCCACTCGCCTCTATGTCTTTCGTGTCAGTCTCGAAGCTAAAGCCACGGTCGGCCACTGTGGTAATGCGATCGTAGTTGGCCAGCCACATTACGTGGTCAGCCAAGTGCTCTATATGCTACAAAACTACGCTGATAGCCTTCGATGGTCTCACCTTAACAAACTGGGTAGGGGTCTGGTGACTAAATCGGGCGTTTGATGGATCCAAAATTAACACCAACTTGATCAAGTTAATGTCACCCGCGAAAATACGTCCGAGCCTGCATGCAGCTGAAATCTCGCACATCTGGTCTCCAACGGATATGACGTCAACTCTTGAGTCATGCTCCCACAAGTCGAGGGCGGCTTCCACGTTCTCTTTGAATTCCGAAAACTAAAATAGTCGATCATCGCACCATACGCAGCGTACCTTGACACCAGTGTAGAATTCTCTGAAGGCTTCATCTTCGTCCGGGTGGGGCGGAGGTCCCGATCGCACGACCCATTCTTCGGTGCTTGCAAGTGATACACTGTGTCTCCTGAGCAGATCTCGCAGTTGTGGTAGAGTATGTGTTAGGTAGAAATTTTCGACAGTCTTCGACCCAGCATTAGTCACGATATATATCCTATCAACGGTTTTGGATACGCGATGTAACATCATATCCAGGGCGTCAAACAAGCCAGCCCTCGTCAATTTTTCGTTGATTTCTCGTACAATCTGTTGATGAGGTTTGTCTTTCTCATCGTTTCTCCAGTGCTGCATGATCCACGACGTAGGTATCAAGGTATTATCCAAATCGAAGAACACGATTTTCCGTCGGCTCGGTGCATCAAAATCTTTTGAAGTACACTCCAATAATTGCGCCTGCTCACTTATTCGTGCTTCCGGCATCGTTCAGCTCTCAGCGTCCTCCTACGGGGTGTTGAATTAAGATCCAGCGCAGAATAAATAGTGTGTGCACACGCGCGCGCTTGCAAACAATATGGAGCAGACTCACGTTCTGGTAGTCTATGACCAGTCTATATGGGCATTACAGCCGTACGCATACAAATGTAGAAATAGCCGCTTGTGGGGCGCATGTATGATTTCGAAGGAGATCAGGGAGGAGCAGTACGACTAGACAGCGACGGTCTCGGCCCCGATTACGACCAGCAATACGACCAGCAATACGACCAGCAGTCATCAGGAAACGCTCAGAATCCATGGACCCACAGCGGATTGGAATCGGAATACGAATTTCGATATAATGCTGCGGATCCAACTGCTGCGTTGCTTGACGAATGTTACCGGTGGGGAGCCTTCGCCGAGATGCCCGTGTTGCCTGAGGGAGAAGACCTGTGGGGCGAGCAGGCCCCATTGACGCACGGCTGGCAAGAGCGAGTGATTCAAGAAAGTCGGGCGTTGATGCAGAATTACAAGAGCAACGCCGAAATTCTGGAAAGCGTCTCGAGTGACACCAACAGCAAGCTGAGTCCGGAGGAAGAGAACGCCATCTGCGCAGTGGTTCCGAAGCTGGTCCGAGCCTCAATGAACGGAACCGTCCGGGGAGTATACTTGGACCGCGGCCGGTCTCTATGGCGCGCCAACTGGAGAGAGGGGGGACGAGTGCGCACAAAGGGCTTCCGGATCGCAAAGTGGGGCACTTACGAGGCGCGGCGCAAGGCCATTGAGGTGCGGAAGTTGATGGAAACGCGTGCTTGTTTCCTTCGGCTGAAAGCGGTCGCATTTGGGCTCACCAAAGGTGCTGGGCCGCGCAAGACGCCCGCTGCCTCTCAGTCAGACGACTCCAGCCAGTCCTGGGAAATGCCTTCTTCCAGACGCAGCAAACGGTCCAAGAAAACCCACCAATCGTCCAAGCGAGCTCGTAAGCACGAATCCAACTCAGGCCCGGAAGACACAAGGAAAGCCGCCGCCTGGATCGAGCCGCCGGCCGACATGCCGAACTTCTCCACAGACACCTTCTACCCCAACGCATCGACCGACTCCACTGTTCCTAACCGCGCCACATCCAGCTGACCATCTAAGGTTCGAGCGGAAACTTACAGTAGTGTCTTGGCGATGTCGAGAACATCGGCAACCACAACATGCATATCAGATCAACTTACAAGTTGAAGCATATCCAGGCTCTCGCAGGCACTGAACAAGTAGCAATTGGGGAGCAAGTCGGTGTCATTGGAGTGAAGCCTTACCCAAACCGTTTGCAGATGCCCTGAAGCACGGCTAGTGTTATGGACCATTGCGGTGGTGTTTCAGAGCAGAGTTTGGCGATCTTTCGGGCAACGACTTTGGTGAGTAGTTGTTGGTTGGGTGCTTTGCGCAAGACGGTTTTGACTGCGGAGGCCCCCTTTCTGATAGAGGCGGCTACGCGTCCGAGAGAGGGATGTGAGAGCTTGAGTCCTTGGGGACTGGTTCGGATGACGCTGGCTGCAAATACGAGTTGCTGCACGTCAGAGTGGACCTTGCCGAGTGCCCTGGTTAATTCGGGGTAGGACTTGGCGATTACGCGATGACCTCGGGCGGCTTTATCTTCCAGCAAGCTCAGCATCTCCTTAAGGTCGCTGCCAGTTAAAGGTTTGTAGTTGGGATCTCGCTTTTGCGCCGGCGTCGGAAGCAGCGACTGTCGCAGACTGCGGCACTGGACCGCCAGTGAGTGCGTCCAAACTGGCCGCAACAGAGAAGTGACCGCAAGGAGGCGAATTGTGGGCGAGCCATCAACCTCCACGCTGCACAACAGGCCCTTATCCTTCAGGTCATACACGTCTGCACACACTTATCAATTGGCGGGTGTGCTATGCCGTCCTTGTAGGAGGTCGGGGTTCTTACAGGCGTGACAGTAGTGGGGGTCCTCCCTCGCTCTTTTACTGATGTTCTCAATCAACCAGTCCTCGAAGAACAGAGGACACTTGTAGCACATGCGACCAAATGTGGCAACTGTGTCTTGCGCCACCTTGGACTCGTCCGATCCGCGGATAATAGGTTCCTGTTGGTCATTCGGCTGTTGATCATGTTGGCCGCTTGGTGTAGCAGAGGCTTCCCCAGGTGGTTGGTAAACGAGTTGGTCGTCATTCAGCTCCTCGTCGTCGAACTTCATTTTCTTCCCTTGAGCTTCGAAGACGATGGTCGGTCCCTTCCGTTTTTTGCCGCTGCTCGGACTCCGCTGGTCGTCCGGGGCGGCAATGAGGTGGTGTTGGCCTGGTGGCGCATCGGCTGTTGGTACGTCGTCCGGAGTCGTGGTCGGGGAAGACACGGTCGGGTCTGGAATGACTTTGCATTCATCGGGAGATATATCATCCTCGGGAACGTGTTCGCTTATAAGCGCCAGCTCTTCCGTTCCAAGTCGAGCGTTGCAGAGGTCCTGGAGCACGCTTTTCAACGCCTTCCCCAAGATTTGGTCTGGAGTTAAGAACTGTTCGAACATATATATAGGCACGTAAAAAGTTACAGCAGGCGTATATGGGCAGAGCACTCCTTCAGCACCAGAGGATAATGCGGTACCGCAAACCTAGGATAATGCGGTACCGCAAACCTAGCTACCGGGGTACCAGGCGGGGTGTCTTGATGTTCATGATTCCGGGTTGGGACGGGGGCGTCTTGAACTTGAGGTTCCTGACTTCCAGAGCCACGGACTCGTTAGCCACGGAGTCCTCGGCGGTGGTCGTGAGGGTCGGAAGGATGGTCGGGGTGGCAGGCGCGGTCGGGAATCTCAGGGACAGATCGAGCGGAGCGGGTTGGCAGCACTGGGCATTGGACCGCGGCCGTGCACTGCGTCGGTTGTCATGTCGGAGAAACCGCTCGTCAAGTCCTGGGCCAAAGTCTGAACCTGGATTCGGACCTAAGTCTAAACCGAGATTTGGCGGTTGCGGTTCCGGTGGACATAGTCGCAACGGCTCGCGTCGTCTCTGCAGCCGCTGGTCGATCACCTTAGCGAGCTCCACGCTTTGTCGTAGCGCCTCACTCCGCGAAAGCAGCTGCGAAGGGACTCGGTCGCCTTTGCTTGAGTTGGGTCTGGAGTCCGGTTTGGCGCCGTCGGGTCTTGCACCCTTGTTGGAGTCGGGTCTTACGCCTCTGCCCGAGTCCGGTCTGGCGCCTTTGTGGGAGTTGGGTCGAGAGAACACCGGGCGCAGCCGGGGACCGGGCGACCGCGGAGAGGTCGCGAAGTAAGCACCGGCAGTGGTGCGGACTGTGTTCTCAGAACCAGGCCTCACACGCGACTCCGCCGTCCGGACGCGAAGGAAGTCGCAGAACGTCCCGGGCCAGCCATTGAGCGCCGGCTGCGACGGGTCCGGTGGCGACAGTTCCGGTGCCCGGGGTGTACCGTAGCGCCGGGTCATCCTCTGCCCAACGACCGAGCTCGGCCGGGCATTCCCAAAGCCGTCATTGGAGCCAGAAGGCGGTCGATAACCAGAATTTGGTCGATAACCAGAATTTGGTCGATAACTGGAATTTGGTCTATAACCAGAATTTGGTCCGTCAGGAGGGCAGCCCCCCAAGTTGGAATCAGGAGGGCAGTCCAAACCGGGATCTGGAAGGTAGCCGAGATTCGAGTCCGAACGGAGACCTAGAGGGTTCATTATCGTTCCCCAAGGGCGCGAGCCCGGCAGGTCACCGGCGGTCCAGAGGTCCGTCTCCACCCGCCGGAGCGCTAGGGCCTCACCCCATAGACCTCTTCCGGATTCGAACCAAGAACCAACGGGTGCGGCGTCTGCCTTCCAATCGTCGGCCCGCGTCCTTCGAGTCCCCACGCCTCGCGATCGTCCTGTTGAGGGATTGCCCTGGCCCGTGGGAGTCCGGCACGGATACGTCGACTGGGGCCCGGGATCTTCAGCACTGCCGCGGACGTACGCCCCCCGAGCCGTGTTTGGGTGGCTGGCTCGCTGGAGCGGGGCCTGAAGCGGGTCTTGTAGGGGGGCCGAGTCTTGAAGGGGGAGCGGACCCTGGAGGGGGTCCTGCAGCGGGCCTTGGTAGGTCTTGGCCTTGGAGATGAGCATGTCGCTGTAGGAATCGCTGCTGGCACCTTCGCGACCGTGTTGTATGGCCATTTGGAAGTGCAGGGGGCGGTCGCTTTGGAGGTCGAGTTTCTTTCGACTGGCTTCGGTCAGTGTCCGGGAGTCCGGGTCCCGGCGGCGGTCTTCTCGTCGATTTTCAACATAGGGGCGGCGGTCCTCCCGCCGGTCGTCGCGACGGTCGTCTGCGTAGGGGCGGCGGTCGTAGGATGTGCCTTGAGAGAGGGCACGGGCGAGAGTATGTTCGAGGGGAGCGGGGGCGTCCCAGACGGGCCAGTGGGTTGGTTGGAAATGTAGTTCGTGTCGTGGAATTTCGACAGTGGCGACACTGCGTTTGTCTGTGCGTTGCGAGGGGGAGCGTTCATCGGTGGGACCTGGTTCTTTCGGTGCCGTAGTTGCGGGCCAGAGTTGATAGGGTAGATCGCCGTTTCCGGTTCGAGGGTCACAACTTCGGACCCGAGGGTCGCCGGTTCGAGGTTCGGCGGCGCCAGATCGCGGGTCGGCGCCATCACGAGGTTGGAGGAGTGTGTGCACGTCTTCAAAGTCAAGCAGCGCCTTGAGCTTGGGTGGGGCAGGCGGCCCAGACATTTTGCCGACGAGGGAGAGAAGCACGGGCAGCAAGACAAGTCCATGCGTGATGCCGAAGAGCAGTGTCATGGTAAGCATTTTGAAGAAGAGGCGGAAAATGAAGGACTGCGAGTAGCCGAGCACGAAAATGCCGGCAATAGTGGAGGCGGCGCCGTGGAAGACGGGCGTACCCATGAGCACGACACACTCGACCGTGCGCAGGTTGCGTGTGCGACCAAGACAATGAGTGAACGTGTGACAAATGTGTGCGGAGTAGTCGATTGAGAAGCCGATGGAGATAACGAGACAGATCATTGTAATCATCTGCAGTTTGACGTCCCAGTAGTACATGAAGCCCATAACGGCAATGTCAATAAGACTCATGACGAAGATGACGAGCATACCGGAAGTAAACTCGGGGATCAGAATGAAAGCGGCTACGAGCATTGAGATCATGGCCGTGGTCATGGAGCTGATGACGGAGGAGACGAGATGCAGGTCGGACTCGTAGAAGATCATCATGTAGTTCCACGCGGTCGCGGTGAGTGGCCAGATGGAGGGGTCGTGCTCGCCGAGGATGCGGATGTCCGCACAGTCTTGTCTGATTTCGCGCATCCATGTGGCTCGTTCCTGACTCGTGGTCATGCCGGCTGGTAGCAAGGTGATGCGCCAGCCCAGGAGCCGTTTGCCTTCCCAGATAAAGTCCTTCTCGAATTGCTTGTACTTGCCCGCAGCAAGCGCGTCATAGAGCGCGTTTTGGAACAGAAGACGGTCGCCGCTAGCCAGCGCTGGCTTGAGCTGAGGGTCATCCAGCATGCGTGCCAGCGGGTCGTTGAAGAAGACCGTCGAGGCTCGTTCGCGGAGGTTTGCATCTAGGATGCGCAGGCTTTTGTGCACCCGCGGGTCCCACCAAGGTGTGGGCTCGGGGAAGAAGATGTACACGGGGATGTCATAACGCGAGAAGAACTGGTCATTGAGCGAATCGTACAGCCGGAGGTAGGCCGTGTCTGGCGACAGGTCTCGTAGGTTCAAGCCCAGTTCCATTAGCATAATGCCACGGACCGCAAGGACGAGTAGCACACTGAATAATAACAGGACTAACAACTTCATCATGGGACGTAACAAGTGAACGCAAAACTGGTTCCGAAAGAACCCGCGCCAACCTTTGCCTACCGTCCCCGGTGGCTCCTGATAGAACATTGGGTGCTTGGATGCCCGGACTACCGGCTCCAACTGACGCTGCAGCGTTGGTGGTAAACTGCCCAAGTCCATGGTGTCCAGCAAACGTCGCGAAGACTGCGTCAGATCAGGCGCTTTGCCTCGCACTCCCGCGTCATACTCAATGATGGCGCGCATCAACGGGTCGTGGGTGGACGGGTAGTGTAGCACGTTGCCCCGTTCCCGCACGCGCGACATCCAGGATCGTCCCATCACACAATCCGCGGTAACGGGGGTGTAGCCGCGTCGTCCGTGCCAGTCCTTCTGCACTTGGTACGCTGCCAACTGGAAGGTACTTACCTTATGCGCTTGGAACAATTGACGCACCACCGCCGTGATCATGTTAGCCTCCTCGTCCTCCTCCGCGTCGGCCTCGGCGTCCAGAAAGTCTTCCGTCGTCCGCCGGGTTACGGGGCCGTGTCCGGATTCGAACCGGGGACCTGCGGGTCCCGAGCTGAGGCCGTGGCCGCGGTTTGCGGCAAGAGCGAGAGTCCTGTTTTCCTGGCTGTGGCGACGCGGGTCGACGCGCGGCGCCGGACGAGAGTGGGCGAAGAGGCAAGGGTCTTTGCGCCGTTCCCGTTTGGCTTCTATGCAGAGTACGCTGAAGAAGAGCGTGACTTCGAAGAAGACGCTGAAGGCAAGGCCCAGAAGCGAGAAGAGGCAGAAGTTGCGAATGGAGACGTAGGGCGACTGGCAGCCGACGGCGAAGGCGATGAGAGAGGTAGCTTTGGTGAGGATGACGGAGACACCACAGTCTTGAAAGCACATGACACAACGATCCCGCGGGTTCGGTTCGCAGTATGCGAGCGAGTAAGAGTTGACGAGCACAAAGATATCGTCGGTACCGACGCCCATGATGAGGAATGGTGTGACGAGTGCGGTGGGCACGAACGCAATGCCCATGAGTGAGCCATAGCCGAAGCCGCACACAATCCCGAGCAGGGCGGAAATGGAGCCAGAGAGGGCAGTAAGTGCTTTGTTTTTATACAAGTCGCAGCTGAAGTTCATGGCCGCAGTATAGCTGATGACGATGATAAAGGTGAAGACCACAAAGATGACGTCCTGACTCTCTGACGTACTGCGGCGCAATTCGTCATCTCGAGAACGGAAGGCGTTTGCGCCGAAAAGTAGGCCTCCGAATCGCCGATTATCCGATAGCAGCCTGTAGTACATGTCCATCCATGCGTAGTTACGCTGCCTGTACTCCGGCTTGTCATCCAACTCATAGATGAACTGCAGGGCACTCGCACCCGTCACACATTCGATACTCACCCGACTCTTGCCGTTGACACTTCCCGGACGCAATTGCTCAGCCGAAAAGAGGTTAAGAAGAGCACTGGTGGGCAGCTCCCGCTCGCAAGGCACGATCGTCGGGTCACCCAACACATAGTCGGGTACAAATCCCTTTTTGTCCAAGTTGAAGATCATGCCTTGCATGACGTAAAACTCCGGCGGAGATCCAGGCGGCAAAATCTTCTGCATCTCCCACAAACCCATTTCGAATACACTCATCACCTGACACCTACCCCACGGCGACTGGGCACATATGTCTTCATACGTCAACAAGTCTCCACCCGAATAACCGCCGCCACCACCTTGCGGATCCGGTCGACCTATACGGTCATGACCTATATGGTCACGACCAGCAATGCTTTGCGAGCGGTCGGTGTTGTCCCCAGAACGGGGTCCAATTCCGGAGCCAATGCCGCCTCCAGATCCACTGCCAGATCCACGGTTAGAAGCAGAGAAGCGCGCACTAAAGTGGGCCGGGCCACCGTAGACGTTGAGAACATCTGTTGAGTTGGCAGCCACGCGGGTTCCTCGGTTAGTCTTGTGTGGTAAATACTCCGGGAGTGGTGGTAGCGCTAACCGGCGGCCTTCAGCGGGATCCACAACCTTGCCGCGAATCAGGTTATCGATCTGCTGGACAATCTGCATCGTCTCCCAGGTCAGAATATTGCCACCCGGCGGGTCTGATGAGACCAGCAGGAAGTTCGGAAATGTTAACGCCTCCTTGAACATGCTGTTATGCACTAAACCGTCGTAACGAGCCACCGTGTTCGGCATCGAATACAAGTTCTCCGCGCCGTCAATCCATTTCATAACACCAGGCACAAAACCCACCAATGATACCAACACCACCACCAACGCGCTGGCACAAACTAGCTTGGTATGGTCAAACACAAAACCGGCCCATCGACCGCACAACACTGATAACACCTTAACAAAACTCTCCTTGAATAACAGTAATTCTTTTAACGCTGAACGCCTTTCTCCATCAGAACTCCTCCCTTGACTGTCCATCTAGTTTACAGAAAAATGAAGAACATTAACCAGACACACGTGTGTGCTACTGCTTATTTCATGTTACTTCATCTCATTATTAACCCAGACACACGTGTGTGCTACTGCTTATCTCATGTTACTTCATCTCATTATTAACCCGTTTTTAACCCCCTCTCGTATTACAAGTTGCCTGCTTGTTTTCCAAACTACTTTACGAACATAAATCAACCGAATCTGTTACGTTCAAACTGTTATTGCCATGACATTAAGAGCTTCATCTCCAGCTCCGAAATATCGCTTTTCCGTTTAGTTGTCGATAGCTTCTTAGTTTTCTTGATAGAAGGCCGACCCCTTTTCCGTCGCCTACAAAAGAGTGTTCGCATTTGCTACGTGTTCGCATTTGCTACGTGTCCGCATTTATTACGTGTCCGCATTGGTGGGTGTCGTACTTTACGGAGTGCGTGTTAACGCTAAACTGACCCAGCTCTTCGAGCATGGCAATCGGATCAATAAGGCAGAATTTGAGACCATCAGACCTAAAGCTGGCAGCGGGTTGATAGGAGTTGGAAGATTGTAGAACTTTCGCCTCCTTGACGTAGCACATGAATCGTTCATCATACATTTTGTAAGATATCATTTTTCCTTTTACTTTCATACATCTATCCGGATTGGCTCCATGAAGAACGCGCAGTGATGGCAGTTTAGTGATCATAGTGCGATCGAACTCCTCCAATATTTCGTCACATGCCAGACTCTCCAAATCCATTTCCGACATGGCCAGTAACAAGCATTGGCCCAGTAGCCCGTGTCGGAACAAGCTTAAATTGAAGGGGAAATTTTCGTAGCCCGGATTAACACGTGTGCGAGGAGTGATAACCCGACCAGGTAATGACCGACCAGACAACTCTGGAATGTCTTTTAACTTCTTCTCCAGTTCAGCACAGCTGTCCAGTTCAGCACAGCTGTCCAGTTCAGCGCAGCTGTCCAGTTCAGCAGTTCAGCACAGCTGTCCAGTTCAGCACAGCTGTCCAGTTCAGCGCAGCTGTCCAGTTCAGCGCGGCTGCGTACCCCATGTAATTCGTAGCGTCCTTTTGTACCGTAGTTTCCATCGGCATTCCACCAGTCCTCTTTCGTTGTCATCTGCTCCTTCCCGTTGGAATATATGTTCTCCTCTTCAGTACTCATCACTTCGCCAGCCACTCGACACTCCTTCTCGAACCCATTTCCTTTCGCCATCTTTGCTAGCTCCATTTCCAGAAGTGACGTCTGAAGGAAGGGGGTTCCGGACATCTCACCCAAAACATGGGGAATCAATAACTCCGTGCTGCCGCAGGCCTGAGCAAAACATGATTGTGAACAACACACTGTTTCGAACCACACACTCTTTAGTACTTCGCATTCACATTTTTATCCAGCAAGCACGGCGGCATATGACCAACACGAATTCGGGATATTTACCAAAAGACTCGCCTCAAGGGCCAACTGTTCAGCCAGCAAGTCGGGAGGAGGAGGAGTTGCTCTCTCGGGGTCCGACGGCGCAGCACTTAATTCATGGCCCATTGGTATAAAAAAGTTCCTGGACTGCCTCCGTGAGAGACTTATCAGTGGTATCTGAAACAGGTGTGATGTATCGGGCGGGACCCGGTGCGGTGACATGGTGGTCCATCTGCATCCTTAAATCAACGAACTGCAGGCGGCGTGCCAGCCAATTCTATGGGTGAGAACCTCTCAGCGTAGACATAGGGGCGTCCGTAATAGAAGTGCCTCATGATATAGACGAAACAGAAGACGCAGAGGACGGGACAGCAGCATGTCAAGACAAGAACAATCAGCAGCAATCCCCACCACTTCAGGTGCCCCGGACAGAGCCACTTGCTCGTAACAATGCCTTTGGGCATCTTGCCAGTGACCTTGGGCTTCTCGAAACATTTGTCTAAGTCAATCGACCAACTGCACGCCCTATTCGCCACACAGTTCGTGCACTCTGTCGCAGTCGCACAGGTCGTACCCAACAACTCACGCGAACGGCCTAAGCAACATTCAGATCATCCTACAGCTCCACCCGCAGCCACACTTTGCAGGAACGTGGTCAGCGCAAAAGGAATTAGCCCAAGGGCATGAGCACAAACGCATTACCGATTCGATCTGAAATCCTAAGATCTGAAATCCTGAGATCCACTCCGGTCACCCCTCCGAGAAGCAGGATCAGGGTATTTCTCATATTCAAGCAAAAGACACCGGATGAGATGGTTATGGTGCAAAGGGTGCCAAAGCCGACGACTCCGAGATGCTGCACGAGCGGCTGGCCCGCCCCGATCGGACTTCTCGTTCATGAGGTGGGCAACGTAGCGCATGATTAAAGGTCCGTGGTTATAGAAAAAAGACGTTTGTTCCTGGAACATTAAAATGGGGGCGAGGATGCAGGGCACTTCCTACGTCAGGAACACGTAACCTGGGGACCCAGACGCATCTGAACGCGTGCAGTGTCGTCTGAACAAGTGGCGTGCCATCTTGCGGCATCGCAGCGGTGTTCAGATGTTTTGAGTCCTTAAATGAACAAACTTGATGGGGAACAGAAGCGCCTCGAAAGGTCGTCTCCGAGCTCGTAGGCCATCACCAGCGCCGGCGTCGGGTACCTGTACGAAGCTTCGGGTCGACAGTTGGGGCGGTTAGTCCCCTTGTTCCCTTTTTCTTGTTCCGGAGAGTAGTCCGGAGATCAGTCGGTCTTCCAGGATTAAGCTTCGGAGTTTCGGGCTTCGGAGTTTAAGCTTCAGAATCTCCGCAGCAGAAGCGTTTGATGACGAAGATAAAGCAGACAAAACTAAGGATAGGACAGCAGCACACACACGCGAGCACAATCAGCAGGACACCCCACCACTTCAGGTGCCCCGGACAGCGCCACTTGCTCGTAATGATGCTTTTGGAACTGGTGTCAGTGATTGTGGTGTTCTCCAAGCACTTTCCCGACTCAGTCGACCAACTGCACGTCTTATAGGCCACACACTTCGTGCACTTTGTAGCACTCGCACACGTCGCGGTTGCACCTAACAACCCTTTGTCGAAACTCTGGTCGAAACCCGCCTCGTCGTCCACATCCAGTCCGAGCAAACTCTGCACTCTCGCGCCCCATTCCTCGTCTACACAGAAATAAGTAGGCGTGGAACAAGTTGTACAGACACTGTGTGCATTGGGGTGTGTATCAGATCCGAACGGCATTAGCAACATGCCAAAGGCACCAGCAATCTGGATCGTCTAGATCAACGATTATCCCCACACGCGGTAGCCGACACACACGCGGTAGCCGACACACATGGTAGAAACTCAGTACAAAAGGCATTACCGATTTGTTCTAAAAAGCTGAGCTCTGCTGCAGCTACCCCTCCGAGAAGCAGGATCAGGACATTCCTCATATTCGAGCAAAAATAACTCCCGATTAAATCTTCCCGCGCCGTCTCATTCGATCCGAAATTACACCCGCAAGCGCATTACACCTGTTCGGTTTTTAAAATGAATTTGGTCGTCCAACGGTTCATTACGTGGGACGACCCACCTCCCCGCAGTCTTCTGCCAACCCAGTTTATCTTGTCAGTAGTGCAGTACGAAACCAAGGTTAAATCGCCAGCCAGCCGAAACGTAAGCAGCGTTTCCACGTGCGGAAGACACACACGGGTGTGTGTGGCTGACAGGCACACGACCATGGGTTGTACACGGGTGTGTGTGGCTGACAGGCACACGACCATGGGTTGTACATGACGATAGGCACGGTTGTATTATATGCTTTCTAGGTGGCGGAACTAGTGGACCTAGAATCTGACGAGGAAGAGGAGGACGAGGACGCGTTAGAGGACGGCGAGTTGGAAGACGACGTCGGCGCCAGCAACAATGCCCGACGAGTGTTCGTAGACTCACAGGCAGTTCCACAAAACTCTCCTACGCGACCGGTGGCCCGTTCGGACCGGAGCTATCGCGAAGGCGACGGCGAACGGCCTCGCGGCAGGAGTTCTCAGGAGCCACTCGGGTCGCCGGCGAACCGCGACGAGTATCGCGGTGGGAATGACCCATATCGCGGCGGCAACGACCACTACCGCGGTGGGCGCTACTACGGCGGCACCGACAATTACCGGTCGCCCGTGGCGGCTTCGCGAGGTGGTCCGGAACGTGTGGATCGTGCGGACCGTGTAAGCCGCATGGGTGGGGACCGGTTTGACCGGGGAGACTACGAGGAAGACTACGACTGGGGTTCGTACGATTCGCAGCGCGGACGCGGACCTCCGCGGCGCGATGTCGTGGGTGCGAGACGCGGCGGCGACGTGAGTTCGGAAGAGTACTACTCTTCCGGACGTGTCTCCGGACGAACAGGGGGGCGCCCGGCAGGATCTGGCCGTGCTCCCCCGCCTCCCTATCGACAGCCACCTCCCAACTACCGACAGCAGCCGCCTCCAACCAGCTACCGACCCCAGCCCCCTCCCACGGTGGACTACCGACAAGTGTCTCGGAACTCCGGCTACCCCGCCACCCGCGGACCAGACCCCTCGCCACGACGGCCAGAACCAACGCGCCGAGTCGTCGGACCGGGCTCATCACGACCTGACGCACCCCGTCCAGGTCCGCCTGGGTTCGGACCACACCCTGTGGGTGACATATATGAGCAGGAGCCCCGACGGGTGACACGACTCAACAGCAGTCCCAGTGGTCCAGGTGGTCTCAGCACTACGGGTGGAAGTACCACGGGTGGATCGTCTGCACTGGCCATCATTATGCAGCAACAAAAGGAAAAAGAGAAAGCATTTGCCAAGAAACAGGAAGAAGAGCTCACCATCGACCCAAAGATTCTGGCGGCCCGACTAAGGGCCAACCGCGCTCAGCCTGTGCGAGCTAAGCCGATCAAGACCCGCAGGCGATAGTCCGGATAGTCCGGTGAAGCCCGGATGCTCACAACCTTGCAGCGATGCATGTGGCTGAAACATGTGGGCGTCGTGCAAGTGGGATGTGGGCGTCGTGCAAGTGGGATGTGGGCGTCGTGTAAGTGGCAGCGAGCGTCGCAGGTAGATGTGTGATTTTGCTATAAAACTGGTGGAGCAAATTTTATGTAATGTCCATTAGCCTTCATGACGGCGTGCCTGTGAGCGCGTGGAAGGGGTTGCACCGGTACTACAAGGAGCTGGGCTTGAAGTGCTACGATGTGGAATGGCCGCCGGCGGCCAAGCGGTTAAACTATGGCGTTATCGCGCGTGTACAAAAGTGCCCTCGTTCGCAGGATTTATTGAGGCTCAAAACTGCAGCCCTTGATGTGCCTTTCTTTGGACAGGGACTCAACGACTTTGAACAGTCTGCTCCCTTAGGCACAGTGAAGGGGTACTGGAGCTGTCATGGATTTAGCCAGAATGCGGAACAGCTGGAACAAGGCCACTACGACCATGTGCTACAAGAAATGGGTAACGGAATAGTAGACCGAGGCGCAGTGGATCGGGAGCTTGAGGAACTAAGACCCTTATTTAGTCATGTAGTAGTAGTCAGTTCCACAGAAGGATATGTTGACCGGGAGCTAAAACGAATTATGATCTTTAACGAAATCGCCAATAGCCAAGCTGCGGAATTCTATGTATTGGAATCCTTGCTGCGAGCCGGCTGGTGGAAAGTTGGGACCAAAGATAAAAGCAGGGAATCAGCAAGGTTCGTCTCCATCCCGTTAAGCGACCTCTGGACATTCCCTGGGGCCTGTATCAAAGTCATTGAAAAATTAGTTGTCGACGAGAAGGTTGGAACACAACATTTCGACCTAGTATCCAAGCCCGTCAAGCACAACATGACTGCGAAATGCACTTGCTCAAAGTACTTGGAACACCCCGCCGCAAGATCCTACCTTGTATTCCCTTGTCAACGGATAAAACAATACCTGCAAGACAACCCGACACTAGAAAGGCCCGACACTGACATGACGTTGCATCTTTACAACCTGAAGGACAGATACATCAAGCTTTATCTTGAGAAAATGACGCATCAATAGGAGTTGACGCATCAATAGCAGTTAAATTCATCGCGCAATCGCGGGTTAACTTTGTATCAAAAAATTGACCGACAACTAATGCAGCGACGCAACAGGGCGTTGCAACAACTAGACAATTAAAGCATTTATTCCGTTTTAATTTTGCTACCAAACTCCTGTTCATAGAACACCATCTTATGCACGAAGCTGTATATCCAAATCCAAGATAGGGCTACAGGGTATGTATCATGGAGGAGTGACTGACTTACCTAATCCCATTGTCGCGCCACCACCAGCAATGAATGAGATGTTTGAATTTGATGCATAATATTCTTGCCATACCATCCGAACTGTTTTGAAAAGCCAAGCAGCAATGTTCGCAACAATCAACTAAAGATGTGATGTGGCGGAGGAAACGGAGGGAGGGACGGGAGTATGTGCTTACCACAGTTGTGACAAGCTTGTGGTTGATCGGCACTACACCGTAGATCATCATAACCGCCATAGAAAACGCAAGAGCATCTCCACCTACCGTGTTCTCGAAAAGGGGGATCAGACCGAACAGTAGCCACACAAGAATGTGAGGTTGTCGCACCCACAGCAGGGACATGGGCACTGACTGAATGATCAGACAAAGCTAGAAAAAAATTGCGGTCGTCTGAAGTAGTGGGAGCTTACGTTGATGAAGTGGCTGTGGAGGGGTCTGGCAATGTCGAACATGCAGATTCCCACGTACCAAAGAAGGTTGTACCCAGGTACATTGAAACGGAAGTCCCAGGCATCGGTCAGCAGTTGTCGGTAGAACGCTCCGAACTGTGGTGGTATTGAGTCGTTGAGCACTTGGTGATGGTTGTAGGAAACGACAAACCTAGCAAGAGTGCTAGGCAGCCAAGGCAGCTGGCCCTTTTGGAACGCGAAGAGCACATGATGGAGAATGTAGTGCATGCTCATGTGCGTGGCACACACGCCCATGAAGATGATCAAGCTCAATACGCCGACTCCAAAAAGGTCTCGGCCCGTAATCTTTTGGAACGGGGCAATGTGGCTCTTCAGCTTTTGGTGGCGTTGCAAAGAAGCCAGGGGAATTATCAAGGCCAGCCCTTGGAAGCTTGACAGACACGACATGTACACCCCCAGACACATACCTGCAACGATCGCAGGACGGTAAATGGCACGCCGAGACGCCGTCCAAACCGCTACTGTCATGAACGTCAAGGCTACAGCGCTCCTCAAGTAACTCTCGGGCTCATACCACAACTCGTACAGCTAAACATAAGATCAGACATAGAAGGGGAGATTGTTTGGCGCACCGTGTAGGAACACACTTGGGGCTGGGATACAGCGTGGGGACATGGAACGGAACAGGCCAGGAGACGCAGATTGGGAGGGGGGGAGCTTGCTGCATGGTACAACACTGTTGCGGGGAGGGGTGATTTTTACGGTTAAAGGATTGGTGGCGTAGAGCAGCGGAGGCATGAGCGCCGAGAAGGAGTATTGCGGTTCCTGTGCGGTCAGCCAGGTACTTGTTTGGTATAATGCGGCCGTGCTGCCTGCCCAGGCTCCAATTCGCAGCAGCATTTTCTATGATTATCCGGGACATAAAAGTGGACGCCATATGCCGGGCCACTGGACTTTCGCCCAAGCAAGCCTCCGCGCTACTTAGTCAACACTTCGACGACCTGGACGTACGCCCTCCTCGACCTCATTAACATCGTGCCTGAACCCAGAGCCCACGCCTTGTTGTATTTCAGCGCGCTTTGTCTTCGTATTCGAACGGACAAAGCTGGACCTGTGAAACAGACGCGTCTTCCGACTCCTCACACGAGACCACAGCCGCGCCGACCGCAGCCCCGCCGG